CAGGGAATGTTTAATGAATAACGTTTTTGTACACCAGGCTGCTTCTAGATTTCAACCCGGGAAGGACTCCTGGGCTTGGCCGCACCAGCCATGCGTAAGTTCCCCCTAGCCAAGGTTCAACATTGAGCACAAAGCAGTACTAACTCTTCTACACTGCATTGTATGTTTTCTGCACTGATGTAAACCACCATCACCACCACCAGGCAATAGACTGCTTCAGATTTTATTAAGAAAAGAGGAATGTGGTAGATGAATCCTTGTAGTGTTTGATGATTTGTGTTCACACAAAAAAATTGTATGCATTTTTATGAATTTGTCAGCAAAAGCACAATTAAATGATGCTGTTTTGCATCACTATTAAGCAATGAAGCAGGTGGACTTACGCCTAGCTGGTGCAGCAACACATGCTTACACTGATACACTAACAATTCTGCATAACTGAGGTACCCATGTGTCACAAAAATCTGGTATTGGAGTCTTTTTCTCACTTTCATTCATTACTTTTCAGTATCAAACCATTTGCACAGCCCCCATACTCGAGCCTACCAGGTTCTGTAAACCAACCCATACCAAGTACGTTTGAACAAAATAAATCAATAAATGGAAACCAGAAAAGGAAAATGGGTGTGATATATTAATGCTTATGCATATGTGTTTGCATACATGAAGATTATGAGCCCTTGGCGCCACCTCCTGCACCAGCCGCTACTGCAGTGCCAGTCTGGCAGGATCGGACCATTGCCTCCTCTAAGCTGAGGCTGCTGGAGTACTCAGCCTTCATGGAGGTCCAGAGGGACCCAGACAATGTGAGTTAAATATGGTCTGCACCATATCCCAACCAAACAGCTTGTGAGTAATAAGAACTTGTTTAAAAGTGTAGTGGCATTAATACATGAGGGCTGTGTTTTAGTTGTTTTTTTTGTTCGTGCTCCCTGTACTAAATCAAGTCCTATAGCCAACTTTTATCATCTGCTCTGTCTCTGTCCAATATAGTACAGCAAACACCTGTTTGTCCACATCGGACAAACTAATCCCTCCTACAGCGATCCGCTCCTTGAGGCTGTGGACATTCGGCAGATCTACGACAAGTTCCCTGAGAAGAAGGGTGGGCTCAAAGAGCTTTATGAGAAAGGGCCCCAAAATGCTTTCTTCCTTGTAAAGTTCTGGGTATGTTGTTATTATAATCTGACACTTAATATTATCATGCCTCTGTTTTCTACATTTGGAAATTATGCAAACTGCTTTTTTTTTTCATACAATACCATGCTACATGTGGTGATAAATTACATGATTTCAAGATAAGAGGCAATGTATTTCATAGAATGTTGCTTCATTTATACTGCGTTTGTCTTTGGTTAATAAATGTTCTTTTGAATAACTTACATCCACATCTTTATTTATTTATTTATTTATGCAATTTAAAGTTGATGTCATGTGAGGGCCTTTTGTCATGATGACATGTGTGCACTCTGCAGGCTGATCTGAACAGCAGCGGTATGCCAGACGGTCCAGGTTCATTCTATGGTGTCAGCAGTCAATACAGTAGCATTGAGAACATGACGATCACCGTTTCAACCAAAGTCTGCTCATTTGGCAAGCAAGTTGTCGAAAAAGTAGAGGTACGCCGGTGCTTTAACTGAGTCTTTTCTGAGAAGTATGTTTAATATTATATGCACATTGTTGTCTGTTCTTGACTCGCCTGTGTGTGTGTGTGTTGCAGACAGAGTATGCCCGCCTAGAGGGAGGAAAGTGTGTTTACAGGATCCACCGCTCTCCTATGTGCGAGTACATGATCAACTTTATCCACAA